CCACGGAGGTGGGAGTGTGCAAGAAAGAAAAACCAGCATGAAGGGATGGTGGTGGGAGGTGAAGGCGAAAATAAACCGTGGAGGTATAAATAAACCATGCGTACCGGACTACCAACTCCCTTTAATAGTAGAGATATATGTGTTTTGGTAAGATAAGGAAATATATCTGATTTGGTAAGATAAGAAAAAAATGTTATTTTTGTTGTATTAGTAAAGTTGTGATTGTCATTTAATGGTAGAGATAATGATACCAATAAATGGCAGCACATTGAGGAATATCTTATTTTGTTTTGAATATATCGAGAAAATCTTATGTTTGTCATTTAGGAAGGCGATCTCACATATATGGTGCAATTTCTGAATTCTCAATTACATATTATTTACGTGATAGAGTTGAATCAGCACCTACCAAAGCAAGCACGAAAGAAGATCTCCCTCTTTAATTGGATTTGGTTTTCAATGGGAGGGAGAAAAATAAACCGGTGGAAGGGGTGGTGGGAGGTGAGACGAAAAAAACCAACGAAAATAAATCATGGAGGCGAAGCTACCAACTTCCCATTTATGAGTAGAGATTACATTATGAAAGGAGGTGGTTCAGCTGTAAATTCTTAACTATATGACACAGTTTGTTAGTCCATGCCATGTCAACAAATGGTTATTGAATGGTCATTACATGTTGTTGTACTGCTTTTGTTTTAGAGAACGTGGGGTTTGAATCCTTTCATGCGACTTAATTATCCAATACGACCAAACCCGAGGATGTTGGTAGGATAGCTGCAACAAGGGATGACATGTATGCTCCTCCAATTAGATTAATCAATGCAAGTGTTTTTTTATCTTCCACCGAAGTGCACTATGTGATTTCTCCTTTTTATTCAACTTTAAAATTATATTGATAACAAAATTGTTGGCCATACTTCCCACAACATGTATTTATGAAAAAAAATTGGTCCAGCTAGAGTTGATGTAAATTGCAGCTTGTTATGGTACGTATCTTTGTTGGTTAACTCGTTCTTATCTAAGTAACTTATTTTTAAGTTTCTTCTGATGTGCTAGAAGTCAATTTAGTATTGTTTAAATTACACAAACATAAGACCCTAGAAGTATTTTTCATGTCCTTATGTGATAAAGCCTTATGTGTACAATATTAGTTTGTCACCTCAAAACATTTAGTTAGTACTCACTCCATACTAATAGTTTTATTAAAAATTGTATTGCTATAGTAACTAGCAAACCCATTTCAGTTTCTTTCATCAGATAATGGGCTACTTTATATATTCCTTATATATTTACTTTCTCTATTCTAGATGGCGTTACATGTTGCCTTGAGTCGATTTTGTATGGAAGAATCATAATATAAATCTAAATTTTCCAGATTTGATTATCATGAAATTATAAATTATTAACAGAGTAGGTGCGAACATAGGTGCATACATTTTTCATTCAGTCTCACATGATAATTGGGAAATGGATAGGAGAGTGTAAGAGGGAACTTACGGGCATACATTTTTTATTTAGTCTCACATGATAAATGAAAAATGGATGGGGTAGTCTATTTTGATTGTTAGAAACAAACACATAATAGTTCAGGATGGCCGTGAATTTTGTTTCCCATCGATGGCCACAAATTCATTCATGTGAGATGCATCAACTAGAAAAAGAATAGGAGCAATATTTTAATCATCAACTATGATCTTGCCAAGTTGATTAATTGTAATGAGAATAAATTTTGCACATGTGTTATTATTCATGCATTTGTCTACCATCTGAAGTGGAGACACTATTTGTGGCCAGAAAATATATTTGTTGAAGCCTCTCGTGACTACCTTATTTTTATGAATAAAATATTAATACGTTTCAGCGGGTAATAAAATACATTACACATTTTAAACCATGGTTTTGGAGTACCATATCTGTAAATTTTGCCATTATTTATAATTCAAGTAATTTTAGTATTAATCAGAGTTTTTTTATAAAAAATGATGAAGCGTAGTTAATTATACCACATTTGGAAAGGAAAGATATGTAGATCCCCAAAGTTGTAGCATCTGAACAAAAATCACAGTATAACATATAGGGACACGCATAAATCATGTTGTCTTTTTCGCATAAAAATACTAAGACATGCTAATTCTTTATAAAGCATAATGTGCAAGTCTTCTCACTTTACATCTTATTTATTTAGCCGCTACACTGTTCATCCTCTTGGCATTTGCATAACAAGAAGTGCACTGAAAATTATTTCTTTCAGTGACTGCCCAAGGCGTCGATGCCTAAACCATCCTAGATAAGAATGAAAATTTGGGGCACACATTGATATGTAAATATTTAATGATACATATTCATGGCTCTAAATTTACTTGACCAGTCAAATCCTCATATTAGTATAATCTTTTCTCCGATGCTCTTTATATTGGTACTACTATCTTGACCAAGCTAATCCAATCGGTTTGGATATATCACTTGAATTTGATTAGGATGTAAAATCCTCAGTGGATCTGAATGTCCATTTTAACAATCCATTTCACTAAGAGGTAATTTACTGAATGAAATGCTTGAAACTTACATGTACAAAGATTAAAGTAATTCAAAGGCATAAAAGGGAAACCCCAAAGAATGAATGGTTCGCTAATAATCTCGTGAAGAGAGAACATTTTAGAACAAAAGATGTGCAATTCCAAAGATGAAGGGCATCGCAAGAGAAGAGGGTGATAATATCTGGATTTTGGTATATGTTCAGACTGAAGACATTGTCCATATATTTAGTAACTTACAAAGGCATAGTCAATATTTTTTTGTGCAGTTCAGGCTACGTTAGTGAATAATAAATACATTTTTTCTAGTTATTATAACACTTGTGGAGTTTCATTTCGATAATCCGGAGTCTACAAGACATGAACAACATATTGGAATGTAATACTTTATAACTTTCTTATATTTGCTCTTTAGTACCTCTTCCAAAGTTTCATTTTGATGTTTCCTGTTTGTTTTCGCTCAATATTTATTAGCCATGCATTGGACTGTATTTATAGTGAAAGCTTTATCTCAAGCACTTCTAGAAATTAACTTAATTAGACTACATGGTGGAAGCTTGGAAAATAG